CCTTTGTGAACCAACCCTTCACTCCACTTCTATTCCCCTCAGGTTCTGGCCTCGGCCTCGGCCTCGGCCTCCCGGCTCCTCTGACTTCCTGTCTGTCTGTGTAGATAACCGTCTGAGGTTCATCACCGCCCCGGCTGCCTGGAGACCCAGGAGTGGAGACAGGTACACACACACACACACACACACACACACACACATACACATACACATACACACCACCGCAATTTATCACCTCTGTCTTTGGAGCTGGGATTGTCCTCAAACAAACAAACAAACACACACTCTGTTAGTGTGTGATCTCCTCCGGTGATCAATAAACAGGTCGTTAATATCAGTAATCTCCTCCTCCTCCTCCTCCTCCTCCTCCTCCTCCTCTTCTTCTTCTTCTCCTCCTTCACTGAAAACGTCTCTGACTTTTTAGTAAAATGTGATTTTTTTTTCTTGGCACCTGCGTGCGTTTGCAGCCGCGACCACGTGCACACGTACGTGCACACGTACGTCAGACTGATCCTAGACCTGCATGCTAACAGAGGGGGGGGGTCAACGGGTTTATACCAACACACACACACACACACACAGACTGATCCTCTCCATCGCCTCGCTCCTCACACACGTGCACACACTCACGTGCACGTGCGTGTGTGTGAGTGTGAGGTTGATCCGACTCGTGTTAAAAACCCGACGACCAGACTGAGCGTCGGATCCTCGCCTCATCCATCATCCTCGGCTGGCAGGTTATGCGCAGTCTGTGTATGTGTGTGTGTGTGTGTGTGTGTGTGTGTGTGTGTGTCTCCTCTCCGATCACGTCCGCACCAACACCAGGACCAGATCCTGGTCCTAATGAGGTCCTGGTTGTAGTGGAGTTCTGGTCCGGACCAAACCGGTTCCTGCTGCTGGAGTTTACCATAAGATGTGTGTGTGTGTGTGTGTGTGTGTGTGTGTGTGTGCCTGCATTAATCACCTAAACGTCTGACATTTTTGGGTTATTATTGTAGGTGTGGTTGGTTTGAATCTTAGAGCCAGACATCGACCAATCAGGGCCAGGCAATTTCCAACAATCATCGGGTATAAAAAAAAAACCCATTCTAGTTAAACTAGTAGTTAACCTGGTTAACAGAGCGGGACTCATCACAACACCCTGGACCAGGAACCACAGCCTGGTCCTAACGAGGCAGAACCTCATTAGTCAGAGACTAGTCAGGGTCAGAGGTGAGCAGAGCTCCAACAGGGGAGTCATTAACTAGTCTTAACTAGTGCTGGTTAAGGCTTTGGTTAATGAAGGAAAAGCTGAATGTGTGAGACACGCCGGGATCAGATCAGAACCGGGTCTTAATGAGTCGGAACCTCACAGACGGGTCCAGGTGAAAACTGCAGCTTAACTAGTGTTAACTAGTGTTAACTAGTGCTGGTTAAGGCCGGGATTGTTGGGAATGAGTCCGGTCCATATGGGCCAGAACCTCTGAACCGACACCGGTCCAGATCCAGGAGGTGAATGTTGTAATCAAACAGAAGCACGTGCACAACCCTGCGTGTGTGCACGTGTTTTTTGTATCGCCTGCAGGTGTCGCTCTCAGTGCTGGAGCCGAGCCCTGGTCCTGATGAGGCAGAACCTCAGACCTCGGTTCAGCTCAGATGGGAATCGAACAGTGACGGTGAACGGTATACGGCTCTCCTGACACACGCCGGCGCACGGACCGGCGGGGGTCCGAAGGCGCGTGCACAATCCGCGCCTCCTGCTCTGTTCACCAACACGGTGTTCGTCCGCGTCAACAACCAATCACACCCGGCTGCGTTTGAGAGAGGTCACGTCACCGCCTGGTGGCGCTCGGACGCCGCTGCGAATCCGCAGCCGTGACCCTGACACAACGCGGTGACAACCAACCACCGAAACACACGCACGCGCACCAACAGTGCCAGTCGGGCGCAGGGAAACACAACAAAAGGCGCACAGAAAAGAACCGCACACAGAGCGGGGGAGGCAGGGGTGAGACACGGGGGGGGGGGACGGAAAACAGCGGTGTTTCAAATCCTAAAAGAAAGTTCCGTCAGAGAGTGTGCGCGCGTGTGTGCGCGTGCGTGTGGTCTCACCTTGGTTCAGAGTGATGGCCAAAGTTAGGACCCACAGAGGCGGCATGGTTCAGCCGAGCGCTTCCAGATTCCTCCCCTCGGCTCCGCTCCCCTGAGGAGACACCATCAATTCCTCCGGAGCGTCTGGATTTTCCGGGAATCCTCTGAGAGTCATGGAAGAGAGGGAGAGAGAGAGAGAGAGGACGGAGACAAACGGGGAGACAAAGACCGAAGCGTCTCCTCCTCCTCACTCCTCACTTTCTCCTTCTTTCTTTCTCTCCCTCACTCCGCTGTTCGTGAAATAAACCTGGCAACACTTTTCTGACTCCCCCTCTGTCTCTCTCTCTTTACTGACTCCCCCTGTATGTCTCTCTTTCCTCTGTCTTCTTCTGTCCCGGTGCTCCTCTCTCTCTCTCTCTCTCTCTCTCTCCTGGTCTGCCTCCCCCTTTGTTAGTGTCTTCAGGATTCCCATTTACGCAGGAATCTCTCCCTCCCTCTTTCTCTCTCTCTCCCTCTCTCTCTTCCTTCTTGGACTTCACAGAGTGAAGGGTAAAGCCATAAACGGGAGGAAGAGCAGGAGAAGGGCGCACCCAGCGGCGGCATCGCGAACTACACGTTGGACCTGAAAGCGTCTCCAGAGTCAGAGGAACATCTGCATCATCGAAGGGTTGATCTGTGACTTCATTAGGAACCTGAGGGGACGGGTCCACTGGTCGGTCCGGACTGGGGGACACTGGGGGACACTGGGGGACACTGAGGGACATTCTCATTAACAAAAATAAATAAAAAGACTAATAAATGAGCGACAATATTTGATATTTTTCCAGGTTATATTTTCCACGAAAAACAACAAAAGTGAAAGGAAATGAGGAGGGGGAGGGAGAGAGGGAGAGAGAGAGAGAGAGACAACACGTTGTTGTTGTTTACCTTTTTTTCCTCTATACAATCTCGCCTTTTAAAGCCCTCGGCTGTGTGATGTTATATTGTACTGCCCTCTGGTGGTCATGTTCTCCAACAGCATGTTAATAAAGACAGAGCCTCGTGTTGATATTTGAGTCTTTTGGACAGGAAATATATTTAAATACTTGTTTGTATCACGTCATATATAAAACATGTATGTACCGAGTATCAACAAATACTCAGTACTCTTCATACTTCAAAAACTGTACGCCGTATACGTTACAGTAGTATGTTGTACACTGCTAATGTTGTATAACATATGGTTACTACATTATTCCTTGGTGTACTGCACTGAAAATACACTGTACTACACAATACTATACACTATACTATACTCCCTCATACAATACTGCAATATTTGACAGCACAGCTCTGATGTTACACTTCAACACTTCAGTTGTCCATACTGTATTCATAAGTACTTCACCTATACTACACTACATTATACAATACTACACTATACTACACTATACTTCACTGTTTCCCAACCGTGTTTGTGCCAGTAGTTTTTATTTAAAAATACTTCACTGTTTCCCAACCATGTTTGTGCCAGTAGTTTTTATTTAAAAAAAAACTCCCAGGGTGCAACACCAAACAGAAAAGTGAGGGAAAAATCACGACCAGTGAGTTTGAATTCACCTGCTCCTGTTTAGTGGAACACCAGGCTGAGATACTCACAGGAATGGAAGAACAGGTTCTTTTTTTTCTCTGACGTTAGAGCCATCTGCTGCCACCTAGTGGGAGAATATTTTATCGATTGAGTAAATAAACAATAGATTTCAGACCATGTCAGTGAAGGTATTCCACGACTCTTTACAAAGTACTTTTCGTGTGTACTACTCCGCTACTACACCATACAATACATTGTGTATTCTTTTTTTTATAGTAGTACTCTGTTGTACTTTTGTTCTATTCTTCCTGATATATTTCTAATAATAATGAAAATACATGTTCTCCTCCCCCTGAACTGAAACCTTCGGCGGCCGCTGCAGTCGAGGCTAATCACTGGCTAATCAATCACCCGCTGCTGAACACGGCTAACAACAGCGAGCTAATTAGCGCTAACTTGATTTGAAGAGCCTTCCGGGGAATTAAAACACACCGGCCAATCAAAATCTATTTTCCTGTGAAGAAATACAAGACACGTCGTCTTCCTGAAATATCAGAGAGAGAGAAAAAAAAATTAAAAAGAACAGAGAAAACATCCAGAACAACAACAACGATGTCGGTGATAAGAACGACAGCGGACGCGACTTTAATTAAAACAAATGCATTTTTATTGAAGTCAACAACAGAACTAGTATTTTTTCTTTCCTTTTTTTCTTTGAAAACAAAAACCAATAAAATAAAACAAATCCAATCCGTTAGTTTATGAACATAACGGGCATCGGAGGCCAACCCACCACAGCATGCGGTTGGCTCTCGGCTTGATGACATCACGGGCGATTGTACAAACCAACGTACGTGACAGCACGAGTCTGGCGTTAATGTGGACATTTATTCCAAAGGAAGACTTGTCATTCGACAGAACCAAAGACCGACGGCGTCACTCACTGAAACGGAAAACATTTCTGTGAATCCGTGTCTCCGGCGTCTGTTTGACTCACACACACACACACTCACACACACACAAGTACAATTACACCATAGTCACAGACGTCATGCCTGTTCTGCATATCCAGAGTATGTGTGTGTGTGTGTGTGTGTACAGGTGTGTCACTGAGAGTCCAGTGAAGGCAACACTACAGTATTTACATCAACTTGAAGGTCAATGGTTGTTGAAACAATAAAAAATGCCGAAACTAAACATTTCTAACTTTTTTGATGTTTTTGTACTAAAAAAAAAAAAAAAAAAACTGAACTAAAGACTGAAATGACGCGACGTGTCTGTAACTGATGCGCGTGCACGAACCAAAAGTTTAGTTTCTAATTTATGTCATAAAAGCATCGACCAGATGAAGTGAGCGGAGAGTGTAGAACCAGGACGAGAAGAAGATGCTGTCTGCTGCCATCTGGTGGACAGCTTGCTGTTACTGCAATAATGCGTCCGTTGTTTCTGTGATGTGATCCAGTGAGGGGCATCAAACCGGGCATCTGGTCCACAAACCAGAGTTTGTCATTGTGGGCCAGACTAACTTTTCTTGCCAGCTTTGGTTAAAGTTTGTGGCCCACATTTTAGATTCTAGACCGGTAAATGAGTGTGGTCTTTTCTGACCCAGTAGTTTTAAAAAGATGGGATGCGGCCCACTAATGGGTCAGACTGATTTCAGATTTCCGTTCAAACTCATTTCTCCCAAACCAGTGTTCCTTTTCTGGACTTCCTCTAAACTGTGGTGGGGTACAGGTGGGCCTCACTGGGACGCGGCCCATGTCTGCAGACCAGAGGAGAGCAGCAGTTCCGACTGCAGCCTCTGGGGGCGGGTTCTCCTCTTCCAACACTATCTACATTTCCCAAACCTTTCTCATGCAAGCTACATGCTAGCACAAAAACTAAGACGAGGACAGGACGATATTTTACAGGCAGATACAGGTCCATTAGTTACACTGTGAGAGGAGTATGAAGTACTGCAGTACTGCAGTACAGCAGTACACAGCAGGAGTAGACCAGAGCTTTCACCTCAGAGGCTCCGTCAGAACTGGTCCAACCTCTGGTCTGCAGACCAGAGCTGTGTCGACCAGGTGTGGTGTGTAGGTCCACACCTCAGCTGCGCCTCCTCTGGTCAAACACCGGCTCCTAAACTCTGTTCAGTTCACTGTCAAAAAAAAAACGGGGCCAAAAAAAAAACTGAACCCCAAAAAAAAAAATAAAAAAAAAATGAAAAGAGCCAAAACACAACAGCCGACCCTGCTCCGGACCCTTTGTATTTTAGCTAGCTTATACTGTAGACTCATCAGCCGGGCT